ATCCAGGCCACTTCTGGGTTGGGACTACCCAAGCCACCCACACAGTGAAGAGGGACAGATCTCTAGGACCAAGGTATTGTGGGCATCAGGAAGTGGGAAGCCCACCAGCGGGATAGGATCAGGAGACAAACTAGCTTTCCAAAGAAACCTGGTCAGATTGGGCTGGGAGACCCATTCCAAACCCCTGTTTTCTTCAGCTGTTTGCCGAACCAATCTGGGTGGGATCCCACCACAAAATCCTTTCCCTTATTCTTTGTTCAATCTAGGCCTAGGAGGAGGATTTTTTTTATGATGGTTGTGGGGAGGGATTCAGAAATTGATGAAGCACCTTCATTATAATCGTTGCTATGCAAAATATCCCATTCACTGGTCATCCTTTCACTCTGTTTTAATAAATCAGGTGGCCACTAAAAAGTTCATTTTCTGAGTCATCACTGAGGTTCATGGAAGCAGAGATTTCTATGATGCTAGAAGGAACCTTTAGAGGCCAGGAACTGAGGCCAAACTCAGGCTGACCAACCTTCACTCCCCTCCCAGCTGGGCTTCTGAATTTCCAGACTTTGCTATCATAGCACTATCTTTGCCCTCCACTCCCCTTTCTAGCTCCCTGGAGGTCTTGTTTTGTTGTTATTGTTGTTTTGCTTGCATTTGTATGCCCAGCACTTAGCACAGTGCCTGGCACTTAATAAATGCTTGTTGACTACCCGCTACAGACGTCTTCAAAGTCATACTGCTAGTAAGTGGAAGAATTAGGATTTGAACCCACATCTTCTGACTAGAGAATCAATACTTTTTCTACTACAACATATTGGTGAATTGGGGGCACAAGAGCTCCCAAATATGCATTGAAGGCAGAGGTACCGAGAGTTACGTTGATATGTTCATATTCCCATATTTCAGAGTGATATTCTATTTCCTTTTCTCTACATTAAATTCTGAATACAGTCAGGTCATCCCAGGTCTACCCAGGCAGTAGAAAGTGAAGTAAGCAGCCTCTGAGTTAGCAGGCAAGATCCCTTTGCAATAGAGAAAGCCCATACAAATCCATAGGATGCTTGATGCCCCCCCCCCCCCCCCCGCCAGCTGGTGGTTTGAATGTCACTCCACCTGGTGGGCAAATGATATCATGCTCCCTTGCTGGATAATTAATTAAGTGGCAGGCTGCCTCTCAGTAAGTTCAGAAAGGATCCAAGTGTGGGCTGCTGCTGTTTCTGCAACAACACCAAGTATATACTCAGCTCGCACTCGACCTTCATAGTTTTAATAGCGTAAATGAAAGCGATATAGCTAGCAATATAGGGCAGCTAGGGGGTGCAGTGGATAGAGTGCCTGGTCTGAAGTCAGGAAGATTCATCTTCCTGAGTTCAAATCTGACCTCAGACATTTACTAGCTGTGTGACCCTGGGCAAGTCATTTAACCTTATTTGTCTCAGTTCCTGATCTGTAAAATGAGCTGGAGAAGCAAATGGTAAATCACTCCAGTGTCTTTGCCAAGAAAATCCTAATGAGACCTCAAAGACTTGAACCTGACTGAGCAATAACAACCAATCAGAACTCTAACTAAAAGAAGAATCAGTTATTGGTTTGCAGACAATAGACGATGTCTTCCACTCTGTAGGGTGGTCCGGGTCTGTGGGTGCTGAATGTTGCATACATTAGCAGACCCATTCTCTCTGTGTCAGTTCTGCTGAAGTTTCCCTTAGTCACAAAGTGGGGGTGGGGGTGAAGAAGCATTTATTAAGCACTTGTTGTATATTAGGAATAGCGTTAAGTGCCGCTGATGCAAACATAAACAAAAAGAAAGACAATTTCTGACCTCAAAGAGCTTACATTCTTTTTTTTTTTTTTTTGCAAGGCAATTGGGGTTAAGTGACTTGCCCAGGGTCACACAGTTAGTAAGTGTTATGTATCTGAGGACGGATTTGAACTCAGGTCCTCCTGAATTCAGGGCCAGTGCTCTATCCACTGTGCCACCTAGCTTCCTCAAAGAACTTGCATTCTAATGGGGCAAGGAAATGCAAAAGGGTGGAAAGAGAGATTCTGAGGGAAGGGGATGATAGTGAAGTCCAGAGAATGAAACATGGTTAGTCTGAGTCCTTCCTCAGATGGAGGTGGCACAAGGGGGCTACAAGGACAAGTGTCATCAATAACAATTTAAAAATTAAGAGGCACAATGCTAGACCAATTCTATTTTGTCTTAAGAAACACCATGTTATTTCCCAAAGGCGATTAAAAGGCATCCCTTCCTCCTATTCAATTCCACGCCCGGCACGTTGTCCATCTGAAGTGTCTGTCATAAGTTGCGACCCGTCCTATAGATGAGCACTACCTATCCACAACACATCCTACTTTGATTCTTTTTTTAGTTTGTTTGTTTGTTTTTTTAGGCAATTGGGATTAAGTGACCTGCCTAGGGTCACACAGCTAGTAAGTGTCAAGTGTTTGTTCTGAGGCCAGATTTGAATTCAGGTCCTCCTGACTTCAGGGCCGGTGCTCTATCCACTGCGCCACCTAGCTGCCCCCACATCCTACTTTGGACAGTAAGGCATTCTTCACTTGGTTTCTCCTGTGTGGATAGGTAACCTACAATTTTTTTCGGTAATTATAATACATGGTGGATGTGAGCACGAGGAAACAAATCTTTAAGGAGAAATTACACAGGAAAATATTATAGTAATACGTGCGACTAGAGTGTATATGACTGGAAAAGGATGTGGGCCAGTCATGCAGGGACTGATCACTGAGGAGGAGTCCAGATTTTTCACTGGTGTTCACACATTTTTAGGAGAAATAGAGAAAGACCTGCAGAATGTTGGGTGGAACCTTGGTGAAGGTATGGAAGGGCATGGGCAAAACATATAGAGGATGAGAAGAGATTGGGGGGGGGTCCCTCTGCACCTTTGGAGGCAGCACCCACTTCAATGGGATCGTCAATTTATCAAATTAACAAAGTCAACACAAAGTCTAACCCTTGGTTTAAAAATTCAGTTTCCCAAGTATAAGATCAGAGAGGCTAGACAGCAGTTCATAAGGAAAAAAGATCTGCAGCTCTTAGTGGACCACAGGCTCAGTATAATTCAACAATTAAGACATGGTAGCTGAGAAAGGTAATGTGATCTTGGGCTTCAGAAAGGTACAGTACCCAGGTCAAGGAGGTGACGGTCCCAGTGTGCCCTTCCGTGATTACACTTCTTGTGGAACGTTTGTACTGGAGTTCTGGAGCTATGGCAATGAATAGTCTTTCCACTGTACCATTCTTTTCTCCCAGCCTGTGATTGGAATGGTTGAAGCAACTGGGCACGTTTCTCCTGGTGAAGAGAAGCCTAAGGGTAGGACCGCCTAAATGTTCCAACAATTGCTGAGTTCAACTTTGAGAAGGGCTGTTACGTGGAAAAAGTATCAGACTTGTTCCATTTGTCCCATAGGGAAGGATGATGGGGCATTGGGGAGAAGCTTCAAGGAGGCAGATTTGAGTCTTCTTGATTAAGCAAAAGAAAAAGAAGGGGAAGAAGATGGACAGGTAGGTTTGGGCCAGGTTGTGAAAAATTTTAAACGGCAACCTGAGGTTTCCTATTGCACCCTAGAGGGAAGAGGGAGTCACTGGAGGTTAGATTTGTATTTTTAGGAAAATCCCTTTGGCATTGAGAGGGATGGGAGAAGAGAGACACCTGAGGCAAGGAGACCGATTAGAAGATGAATGGGAAAGGAAGAAACATTTATTAAGCACGTACTATGTGCCAGGCACTGTGCTAAGCACTTCAGAACTCATTTGATCCTCATGACAACCCTGGGAGGCGGGTGCTGTTATTATCCCCATTTTATAGTTGAGGAAACTGAGGCAGAAGGTAAGTGACTTGCCCCAGGTCACACCGATAGTGTCTGAGGCTGGATTTGAACGCAGGTCTTCCTGACTCCAAGTCCAGCACTAACCCGCTGTCTCTATGAGGGGAAGGGGCTGTTAGGGCGGTGGTTGTATGAGTGAAGAGAATGTGGTGGTGCCAGAGATGTGGAGATTTGGCAAAAGATTGGCTAAGTAAGAGGACAGGGTGACACTGAGGTTTTGAACCTGGGTGATGGGGAGGTGAAGACGGTGATAGCTTAAAAAAAGAGGAGAGTTTGGAAGACAGGCCGATTTGGGGGAGAGAGAATGAGTTCTGCTTGGGACATGCTGGGTGTGCTGTGTCTGCAGCAGTGACATGGAGCTCAGATGGAAAGGGATGCAATGAACCGTAGATAAGGATCTCTGCCCCTGCCCCAGCTTACTGACTGAGAAAACCACATGTTAACATTATCTATGTTCTACTCTATTGTGGTTTCTTTTGTTAATTATTTCCCTGTCACATTTTCTTCTGGTTTAGAAGGGCTTGAGAACTTTGCCAGGTCAGCACCAGGTTCAAAATGTCCAATGGAATTGGATGGGGCTGGAGTTCAAGAGAGGGTAGGCCTGGAGATGGAGAGGAGGGGGTTCTCGTATAGAAATGAAAATTAAACTTGTGTGACCTGATGAGTCAGTCAGTCAGTCAGTCGATAAAGCATTTATTAAGCGCCAACTACAGACCAGGCACTCGGTTAAGCACTGAGCCTACAGAAAAAGGCTAGGACAGTCCCCTTGGAGGAGCCCCCCTCCGACGGGGTCACCAGCAAAGGGCTCAGCCTCGGGCCTGGGGCCCCTTCTGTGTCCAGCGGAGGTCAATTCTTCCTCCGAATCTCGCCCGCCTGCGGCACTAGGCGGAACCCGGGAGGAAGCGGGATATCCTGGGAGCTGCCGAGGCTCCTCCCAGCAGGTGTTTCCGCAGTCGCTGCTGCCGCCCTTCGCCTAGAGGCTCATTATTCACCTCTGGAGTTCGGACCCCCCCCCCGCCCCCGCGCGCCCGGGGCAACTGAGGGGCGGATCCCGATGGAAGGCCAGCCCCTTCCCCTCCCTAGTTATGTGGAATGTCTCCTCCCTCCCACTCCCCAAGGAAAAAAACCTCCAGATCCACACTCAGACAGGTATAGACAGACGACCGTAAGGACAGGCACAGCCACCCGCACTCCTTGAACCCCAGGGAGCTGCTAAGGGACGGGCAGGACGCAGAGGAGGGCGCAGGGCTGACAGCCCGCTTGGCTACGCTCTCTCTATGACCTTGGACAGATGGTTGCCCCTCTCCAGACCTGGGCCCCTCTCCGCTGCACGGGACCTTGGAAGCGACTGAGCGGTTGCCCCGGGCCGGGCTGGCCACTTTGCGCCCTGTCTCCGCCCACTCCTGGAGGGGAAGTGGGCCGGGGGACATTCCAGGAATGGAAGCGGGGGGTGCACGGCGCAGACGGAGCTTGGGTAGAACGGAAGCGAGGGGAGGCCGAAACTCCCGCCAGGGTGGGCTGGGCGTGGGGGAGGGCAGGATACGGTAGAGGAACTGCCCGAGGGCAGTCACGGGAGTCCCAGGCCAGCGTGAGCGGGGCAGGCAGGGCCGGGGACCCCGGGAGGTACCCGGGGCTGGAGGCGGACACCGGAGTGCCCGGAGGGGGACGGGGAGCCGGGGTGCCTCGAGCAGGAGGGACAAGTCTGGGGCCCTCGGGAACTGGGAGGCCGACGGCCTCGAAAGTTTGGTCCTTTGGGGGCGTGGCCGGGGCTCTTGGATCCTGGGGGGGGGGGGGGGGGGGAAAGGGGGGGGGGGGGGGTTCAGAGAGGAGGGCGCGTCCCGTGGGGGGAGGGGGGGGGGGGGGGGGGTGGGTAGGACCGAAATACCTGCAGGGCCCCCCTCCCCCGTCCCCCGTGAGGGGTCGGGGGCTTCGTTGTTATTTCTTTAGCAGCTAGCACTGGCGGGAGGAGGGGTAGTGGCAGAGCTCTCTCCCGTTTCTGATGAGCTGCGCTGGTTGGGGTCAGGTAGCCCAGTACCCAGGTTCCTGTAGTGTCTGTGACTCAATTTCTCTCTTCAGGTCTCAGAATGGGTAGGCCCTCTCCTAAGCCCCAGGGTCTCCCCATGCTACTGTTGGTGTTCCTGCCAGGGCTGCGAGTGCTGAGTGCAGGTGAGGGAGAAAGGGAGGGAACCTGGAGCCTTGGGTTGGGAGATTTGGGTGGCAGGGCTGGGGAATCATCAAAGGTCCCGTGCTCACAGTGTCCCTCCCCCCTCTCCGTTTTCTCCCCCATGCTGGTCTGCCTGGCCTTCTCTGACTGCCTACATCCGTCCCCGTCCCCGTGGCCTGGGCTCCGACCTGCAGAGGCACCGTCCTTGTTCTACCAGCTCACTGCGGTGTCGGTTGCCCCTCAGGGGACCCCGAAGTTCTGGGCCTCAGGGTGGCTGGGTCCCCAGCTCTTTCTGACCTACAGTTCTGGTGGCAATGCCGAGCCCTGGGGGGCCTGGCGCTGGGAGACTCAGGAATCCTGGTTTTGGGAGAAGGAGACATGGTACCTGAAAACCCAAGAACGGTTGCTGCAGGAAGCCTTGAGGCTCTCTAAGAAGCAGGGTGAGATTGGATGGATGCTGGGCTGGAGGGGGCTCCTGGAAAGGGGGGGCTCCCTCTCTCACATCCTAATCTGGGACCTCTCCCAGGGGCCCACACTTTTCAGGGCCTGGTGGGCTGCCAACTGAAACCCGACAACTCATCTCAACACACTGCTCGGTATGCCCTGGACGGGGTGGACCTCTTGACCTTTGACCCCGTGCACAGAGTTTGGGTGGGAAACACTGTGGAGGCCGAGAACGTGAAGAAAAACTGGGCCAATGAGAGCCAGCGGGCAGAGAAGGACGCAGAATTCCTGCTCATCACCTGCCCCGAGAAACTCAAAAGTCACCTGCAGAAGGGCCGGGGCAACTTCCAGTGGAAAGGTGCGTGAGCATCTGGCATTAGGGCTAGGACAAGGCAACAGAGTTGTGAGAAGTCACCCCACGTCAGTGGACTCCAAGGCAGGTCTCCTACCCAGGCCAGAGAAGGACGAGGCGGGATCCTGATGCCCAGTACCAGTATGAGATCAGGGAGGGAGTCTAAACCTCCCCTTGTGTAGGCAAAGAAGAGGTGGACCAGAGAGAGTGAGGCTCACCTGGGGGAGGTCCCAGAGTCTGGGGGGCTGCATCACAGAGCTGGAAGAGATCCTTGCTGTTGTTCAGTCATTTCAGTCGTGTTCGACTCTTAGTGACCCCATTTAGGGTTTTCACGCCAAAGATACTGGAAGCTCATTTTATTAGATGAGGAAACTGAGGCCAACAGGGTTAAGTGACTTGCCCAGGGTCACAGAGCTAGAAGTTGTCTGAAGCCAGATTTGAACTCCTGACTCCAGGCCTGGGCACTCCATGCGCTAGGGCACCACCTAGCTGCTCTGTAGAGACCTTAATTGCAACCTCTTAGCTGAAGTGGGAGCAGAGACCCAGAGTGGGGAAGGCACTTGCCCCATGTCACTCAGGTGATCTGGGGGTTGCTCTTGCGGGGTGCCACTGATCTGGGCCCATTTTCCCTCAGAGGCCCCAGAGGTGCGAGCTGGAGGCTACGTGGGGCCAGGGTCCGCCTGGTCCACTCTCACTTGCCAGGCCTTCTCCTTCTTCCCACCCGAACTGAAGTTGACCTTCCTTCGGGAGGGGAAGCCAGAGCCGGAGGCCGTAAAAGGAGTGGAGCCATGGCCCAACAGGGACGGCGCCTTTCATTCCCGGGGCACTCTGCAGGTCCCCTTTGGGGATGAAGCGCTCTACAGCTGCATGGTCCAACACCCTGCACTGGCCAGGGCCATCACTGTGAACTTCGGTAAGAGCACGGGTCTTCTAGGGCCGCAGGAGCCTTGGTCGCCATTCATCAGGCAGTATTTCTTAAGCACTTTGTGTGGCCACTGAAACAAGCCTTCCCCCACCCCGCAGAGGCATCGGGCGGCCTACCCCTGCCGGTCAGAGTCAGCCTGGTGGCAGGCTCCTTGCTCTTCTTGGCGTCCCTGGTAGCCGTGGTGGCTTGCGTGGTGATCTGTAGGAAGAGAGGAGGACGCCCAGGTAAGCCGCGGTCCAGAACTCCGCTGGGGCCAGGAGAAGCAGAGGAGAGATGGACATGATCCAGGAGAGACCGACAGTGGCAGGGAGAGCCCCAGAGCCTCTCCCTCTCATCCCGGTACCTTCTTTTCTCTCTCTTCCCCATCTCAGTTCCGTGGATTTTCCGGCGGCGTGCAGCAGACGACGTGGGGTCCCTGCTCGCAGCCCCAGACTCTGCCCAGGACTCCAGCCCCTAAGATATGGGCATCCTGCCTGTCCGCTGCCGACCCCAGGGTTTCTGTACTTTTTCCGCCCTTGCTGGGGGTTGTGTCTGGATGCTGTGTGACGCCCGGATGGAATCCTTTCCTCTCGACCCTGCTTCCCGCCCCCTCCCCACCCCTGGCCCATTCCAGGTAGCCCTCCTGGATTTCACCTCTTACAGTATAGAAATGTTGATATACTCCTCTCCCAAACAAAACTCCCCCAAAAAAGATATCGTTGGGTCCAGGTCTCCGCTGTGTCCTTTCCGTCCAGATTCCGTTTGGGGGTGGCAGGGTGGGGATTCACCGTATGCGGGGGAGGGATGGAGCGGTCCCTGAACCAGGAAGGAGCGTCCTTCTCCTCCAGGGAAGTCCTTCCCAGCGTCTAACCAGCGTCTCATTTGCTGCTGCCGGCGCAGTTGTGGCCGCGGCTGCAGCTGCTGCAGGGATGTCCCGGCGCCGGGGGCGGGGCGGGGGCGGGGCTCCCCACCGAGTTGTGTCGGTCCCGCCCACCGGCCTCGGGTCTGAAGCCCCTGCTGCGCCCCGGGCCCCCGGGCTGCTGGGAGCTGTAGTTTCCTGAGCGTTTCGCAGGCATCGTGAACCGAGGGGCGGCGGGGATGGGGGCCCCCCCGAGCCCACGCTCGGGAAGGGGAGGGGGCACTCCGAGGTGACCCCACCCCTCGGCTCTTGCCCTGTGGACGTGGCGCCGCGAACCCAATGAGCACTCGAGAAAGTAAAGGTCCCGCCCCCACCTGGGGCCTGCGCGTCGGGATTGGCCGGAGGGCGGGGCTACGAGGAGCCTGAGATCCCGGCGGGGGGGATGAAAGGAGGGAGCGGCGAGCGGGGCTGCCTCTGAGCCAGCGCCTAGGGACGGGACTGGACGGGACGGGACGGGACGGGGTGGTGAGGACCAACTGGAGCGCGGGCCCCTGCACCCCACCCTACCTCCATCCAGTCCCCCAGGCAGCCCCTCTCTGCATCCCCAATCCTCTAGCTCCTCTCGGTGCCCCCAGCCCTTCTCTGGGCCCCCAACCCGCCCTCCATCATCTCTCTGGCCCCTAACCCTTCCCTCAATCCCT